AAATGTTATAGGTGTTATATAACTGATTATTATTATTATATGTGTATAGAATACTCAGTCATGATGCAATATGTATTTTTTCCCAAGGTTGTGGTAAAAAAACATTTGAAAGTTGCTGCTCTGATAGGTTGTATGAATGAAAGCTATTCATGTGATTTCTTGAAGAGATACTAAATGTGTCTTAGGGCTTTGTATTGTGATTTAATAGGAACTCAAGGGAGGCAATTATTTAAACCTTAAGCAACATTTTAATGAGCTTTTGAAGAACTATTAATAGAGGGGATGGAGTGGAGACAGAGACACCAGTCAGGTTGCTAAATAGTTCAGACTAGAGGTAAAACATGGGCTTTTAAATTAAATCAGTGGCAAATGGGGATGGAAAGGAGGAAAAAATATTTTAGAGGCATTTTTGAAAGTGAAGCTAATAAGCTAAGGATTGTATGGAAAATAGCAGATGGAAAGTAGGAGAAGAAATATATCAGCCTATTAGAAATGCAAATTGAGCTCGGAGGTTAAAACTAGACAGGTAGTTTAGGAATTTGTTCCCTCAAAGGTATGGAAGTGGATGAGATTCTGTAGGGATAGTGTATATAAAGAAAGAACTATAGAGGCTAAGTAGAGAAAGCTCTATGGAGTACAGATTGTCTACAGATGGATATTGAACAGAGGAAGAGAGCTTGTGTTTACTGAATCCAAGCACTGTACTCTGGGTGCTTCACACTTGTTTTCTCAGTCATTCCTTTCAATAATATGTTGTTTTGCTTATGAGGAAATTGAAGTTAGGTAATGTATCCAGACTAACACATAAAGTAGTAGAAACCAGATTTAAACTCAGGGCTGAAACTCCAAAGCCTTATATTACTTTTATATCACCTCTCATTTTGCAGATATGGAAACTGAGGCATAGAGAGAAGTTTGTCCAAGTTTTGCATATATATTAAGTGGTAGTGTTGTTGAAACTTGCAAAAAGGTTTAGTAGCTTGAAGACTTATAAGAAAAAAGACCTCTAATTTTGACTGATAGGAGGTTATTGTTGACAGTGTTTTATGTTATTATATGATAATAATAGCTAACATTTTTGAACATCTTCTATGTAACAGGCTCTATTCTAAGTTCATTTAATCTTCACAACAGTTCTTGAAGTATGTAATTATCCCCATTTTATAAATTAGGAAACTGAGTTACAGAGGGGTGAAGTTATGTAACATTGTAAGAGAGAGAGTTAGGATTTAACTTAGGCAGACTGACTTCAGAACCCATCCTCTTTACCAGGGGCTGGCAAACAGGCTGGTGGGCCAAATCTGGCCAGCTGCCTGTTTTTGTAAATAAAGCTTTATTGGAACACAGTTAGTCTTATTCATTTATGTATCATCTATGGCCCCTTTCAACAGAATTGAGTAGTTGCAACAGACTGTATGGCCTGAAAAATGTAAAATATTTACTACCTGGTCCTTTATAGAAAAAGTTTTCCAGTCTCTGATAACCATTAAAGTGGGTGTAAAGCCAAATCTTGAATGTAATGTTAACTTGGGAAGAAAGGCAATATAGGCAATGGCATGGCCTATTTATAGCAGTTCAGTAGTGAAGAAACGGTAAATGGATTGAATGGTAACTTTAAGGAGAAATATGGTAAAATGAACATTTTTTTCACATAGGAAAGATTTGAGTATGTTAGTAGCATAAGAAAAAACGTCAGTTGAATAGGAGATAATGAAGCTGTGAGGGAGGAGTAAAGTTGGTATAGGGTTTTGGGGAATGTAGGAAAGAGTAGGAATATTTATTATTGGAAAGGAGCCAAAGACTTTTCTTTGAAACACTGAGCAGGAGCAAAAAAGATAATTATGTTAGATATTAGAAATATAGGGTTGTTTTGAAGTCAGACAAAGGCATTAGGAATAGGAATTTTCATTAGGTGGCTATAACTTCACTCAAGTAGGGATGAAGATAAGATGGTTCAAATGTTGAATTGATTCAATAATTATTCTTTTCACTACTCAACGGTTGTTACAATTATTACTTTTTAATCTCCCCGTCATGTTTAGTGTGATAAAAAAATATAAGAAAGTAAGAATAATTATACAATTTTGGATAGTGTTATAAACTATTTTTTTAGCAGGTTAAAGTTAGGGAATACAAGTAGGATTTACATTGTTGGTGGTATTATGTTATAAAGTACTATTTAAAGTCTACTTTACAATGTATTTTTATAAACAGCTTTATTGAGGTATGATTGTATAATAAACAATGGTATCATTTGAAAATTCTGACATATGCATCATACTCCTGTGAAATTGTTATCATTCTACCTGTATCTCCTGGTCCCCCCTTTCACGAATTTTGATATGTTGTTTTTTCATTTTTATTCTGCAAAATCCCTTTTTTTAATTTTTTGAGATGGAATCTTGCCCTGTCACCCAGGCTGGTGTGCAATGGTATGATTTCGGCCCACTGCAGTCTCCTGCCTCAGCCTCCTGAGTAGCTGGGATTGATTACAGGAGTGTGTCACCACCCCCAGCTAATTTTGTACTTTTAATAGAGATGGGATTTCGCCATATTGGCCAGGCTGGTCTCGAACTCCTGACCTCAGGTGATCCTCCTGCCTCGGCCTCCGAAAGTGCTGGATCAGAATACTTTTTAATTTCCTTTTTTCTTCTTTGACACCTGGGTTATTTAAAAGCGTGTTATTTAGTTTCTAAATATTTGGAGATTTTCCGGAGATCCTTCTGTTGCTTCTAATTTAATTTCATGTTATCACAAAAAATATTTTGCCTCATTTGAATCCTTTTAAACTCATCAAGACTTGTTTTATGGCCTGTAATATAGTCTATCTTGGTATTTCAGTGTGCATTTGAAAAGAACATGTTAGGTAGGGTGTCATATAAATGTCTTGTCAAGGTGGTAGATAGTGTTGTTCTAATCATCCTTATGCTTACTTATTTTCCATCTACGTGTTCTGTCAGTTATTGCGAAGGGTTATTGAAATCACCAGTTATAACTGTGAATTTACGTGTTTTTCGTTGTGTTTTTTAAAGTATTTTCAAACTCTGTTTAATTATTAGGTACATAAATATATGGAATTATGTCCTTTTTTTTTTTTTGGAGACAGAGCCTTGCTCTGTTGCCCAGGCTGGAGCACAGTGATGTGATTTCAGCTCACTGCAACCTCTGCCTCCTGGGTTCAAGCGATTCTAATGCCTCAGCCTCCCCAGTAGCTGGGATTACAGGCATGCGCCACCATTGCCTGGCTAATTTTTTGTATTTTTAGTAGAGATGGGGTTTCGCCATGTTGCCCAGGCTGGTCTTGAACTTTTGAGCTCAGACAGTCTGCCCACCTCTGCCTCCCAAAGTGCTGGGATTACAGGCATGAGCCACCGCGCCTGGCTGTTATGTCCTTTTGATGAATCGACTCTTTCATAATTGTAAGTGACTCTTTTTATCCCTGGTAATGCCCTTTGTATAGAAATCTTTTTTTTTTTTTAAATAAGAAACAGTTTTGGTCTGTCAGCTAGGCTGGAGTGCAGTGGTACAATTATAACTAATGTCAGTCTTGAACTCTTGGCTGCAAGTGATCCTCCTGCCGTGGCCTCCCAAAGCCCTGGGATTATAGGCATGAGCCACTGTACCTAGCCTATTTCTTATGTTTTATCTGAGTGTGTTTTAGTTGTTTCAGGTAGAAGTATAATCTGTTTCTCTATCTTGGTCAGAGTGAAGTCAGAATATTTTTTAAATGCCCATTATTTAAGAACCATATTTGCAATGGTAACTTTTTCTTTTTGTTTGTCAGTGATATTTCGAAGAATCTGATGAAGGTTATGGATCTTAGCCTCCCGCCTGCCAATTTACAGAGGCTTATTATGCTTATAAAATTTTAGTTGCAATTTCGTGGAATTTATAGGCTTGAAGTTTAATTCACTCCTACCTAGGAATTCTTGCTTTCCAACTCTCGTTGCGTATTAGAATTACATGAGAGAGCTTGTGACAAAATATATTCTTCACCACATACCTGTGAAATCTGAATCTTTCATTAGTGGGACCCAGACTTTGTTTTTATTAACAAAACTCCCCAGGGAATTCTAATGTGCAGCCAAGATTAAAAACGACTCTGTTTTAAAGCAGAGGATGACTACTACTTCAAAAGATTTCTCTTCCTTCCTTTTATTGGCAAGAATACTAGGGAGGAGCTATATAGGGAACCAGTTACTCTTTATACCCAGTCAAAGTAGCACCGGTTACTTTAAAAAAATTGCCAATTCCACCTTCAGACTTTGTCTTGGTAAACTGTGTTTGCGCTTTTAACAAGAGTGCATACAGAAGTTAAAATAAGAAATCTTTGTCGGTTGTGTTTCATAATTTGCTTTAACAAAATGCAAAATATTAGGATATTGCTATTGTAAACAAAAGGCAGCTGTATGTCAACATGGACCTCAGAGCCCAAGAGCTTGTTGTAAGAAATAAGGCAGTAAGTAAATAGGAATTTTAATTTTCCAAATCACTGGGTTTTTTTTTTTTAAATGTGATATGCTTTGTTACAGGTTTTATGTTGTATCAAGTATATGTATGTGTATATATATATATGACTTTATTGGTAATTCATTCTAAAAAATGTACCTCATATTGCCTTCAGTGAGCTACAATGTGTTTGGCTGATTTTAAAATGCCAGAAAGCAGTAAGGAAGAGAAAATAGCACAGAACACTCTTAATAATTGAGAGGTGTGGTATAACATGGACTCTGTGACTCCAGCACTGTTTTTAGATGTGTCAAATTATGTAATCTATGGAGTAGTTAGTTTGGAATGCTGCTTTTATGCAAGCTGATTCTTTTATATGAATTTCATAATGAAGAATTTGAACATCATGTACATTTTGTATGTTAGGCTTTTCAATTTCTGAATCTTCTAATGCTCTTGAACTAATGATGAAGTTTTAAAGGATTAAATGATTCTGTATAAATCTAGTTTAAAGCATGTTTTTCCTTATTGTAACCAACTTTTCCTTACAGCTGTGAACTTCACAGAAGTTAATGAAGAAAACAAAAACGATGTCTTCCAGGAAGTGTTTTCTTCTATTGAAACTTTGGCATTTACCTTTGGAAATATGTAAGTAGAGGACTGTCATTTAAAGCAGCTGGGCCTAGGTGTCTTAGTGAGAGTGTGTTGCATTATCCAGTAAGATACATGGGAAATGAAGTATTAAATGGTATTAAATATCACAACTTTGGAAAAACTATCTTCTGTATGGCCTTATTACTATATTTGAAGGTATTTTTTTTTTTTTTTTTTAAGACGGAGTCTCGCTCTGTCGCCCAGGCTGGAGTGCGGTGGCGCGATCTCGGCTCACTGCAAGCTCCGCCTCCCGGGTTCACGCCATTCTCCTGCCTCAGCCTCCTGAGGAGCTGGGACTACAGGCACCCACCACCGCGCCCGGCTAATTTTTTGTGTTTTTAGTAGAGACGGGGTTTCACCGTGGTCTCGATCTCCTGACCTTGTGATCCACCCGCTTCGGCCTCCCCAAAGTGCTGGGATTACAGGCGTGAGCCACCGCACCCGGCATTTGAAGGTATTTTTATAGCTATTTAGAAGCAACATCCATTTGCAAGTGACTGTGGTTTATGTGAACAGATTCCTAGGGGTTTATTTCTAAGGTTCTTATTTTTAAAAAATTATTTTAGATAACATGTTGAATGTAAACCGTGTCACAAAGAAGTGTAATGACTTGTCTTTCTTTTTTTAACCTCCCTGGATAGCCTTACAAACTTCCTTATGGGAGATGTAGGCAATGATTCATTATTGCGACTGCCTGTTTCTCGAGAAACTAAGGTAAGCTAAGTTTGTGTGAAAGCAAAGTCTTTAATGTTTTTAACCTCATATTTCAACTATTGCCTAATCTTAGGCTGGGGGTAGTGGCTCATACCGGTAATCCCAGCACTTTGGGAGGCCGAGGTGGGCGGATCACCTGAGGTCAGCAGTTTGAGACCAGCCTGGCCAACATAGTGAAGCCCCGTCTTTACTAATAATACAAAAAATAGCCAGGCGTGGTAGAGGGCACCTGTAATCCCAGTTACTCGGGAGGCTGAGGCAGGAGAATTGCTTGAACCCAGGAGGCAGAGGTTGCAGTGAGCTGAGATCACACCACTGCAGTCCAGCCTAGGTGACAGAGTGAGACTCTGTCTCCAAAAAAAAAAAAAGAAAAATTGCTATGAAATAACAGAATATGAGGAATGTATGGATAATATTTCTTTAAAGGTTTATGGTAGTAATATTTTTAATTGACTAAACTTTTCTGCTGAATGCAAGCAAAATACGTAAAAAAAACTGCATCAGGGACCTGTGTTGATCATTTTCTGTTAAGGAAGATCAAATCCAAAAAGAATTTCAACAGATATTTGGGACCAGGTATAGTGACTCATGCCTATAGCCCCAGCACATTAAGAGGCCAAGGTGGGAGGATCATTTGAAGCTAGGAGTTCAAGACCATCCTGGTTAACATGATTGAGACCCTGTTCCTACAAAAAATTAGCCAGGTGTGGTGGCACACACTTATAGTCTCAGCACTTTAAGAGGTCATGATGGGAGGATCACTTGAGGCCAGGAGTTCAGGACCGGCCTGGTTAACATGATTGAGGCCCTGTCCCTACAAAAAATTAGCCAGATGTGGTGGCACAAGTCTGTAGTCCCAGCTACTTGAAAGGGAAGCTGTAGGGGGGTTCACTTGAACCCAGGAGTTCAAGGCTGCAGTGAACTGTGATTGTGTCATTGCTCTTTAGCCAGTGAGACTCTGTCTCTAAAAAAACACAAAGAAACAAAAACAAAAATCCCAAACATATGGAAATTTGCCAAGGACTTATATTATTATAAAAACTTCACGTCCTTCCTAAAATTATATAAAATAAAAATGACTGTCTAAGGCATTTGTTATATGTATTACAATATTGCCAAAAATTATGACTGATTCTGAAGCCATCCATTGACAAATGAAGGCGAATGATGAAAAGTTTTAAGATGTTTAAATATTTTGCTATTATTCATGATTATTCCTAAAGTTTATCTTTTCAAACTATTGCTACTACCTCAGAAGATAACACAGTTTATCTGTATGGCAAGACACTGAACAATTTAAATTTTAGGTGGGAATCGTATTTCCTGTTTCTGTACCTTTATTGTGCATACATATGATACTAATTCTTAACAGGAAAAAATACTTTTTTCTTTTTTTTCTTTTGTACTTTTTTTTGAAGGTTTTAATTTGTTTTAGAGATTGGAATAAAAAAGCTATGATGATATATAATCCTAATAATAAAATTACTTTGACCAACAGTTTTGAAAAATATCCTTTAAAAATAATAGCTGCAGTCTGGGCGTGGTAGCTCATACCTGTAATCTCAGTGCTTTGGGAGGGTGAAGTGGGTGGATCACCTGAGGCCAGGAGTTTGAGACCAGCCTGGCCAACGTGGCGAAACCCAGTCTCTACTAAAAATCCAAATATTAGCCAGGAAGGGTGACATGGCACTTGTAGTCCCAGCTACTTGGGAGGCTGAGGCACGAGAATCTCTTGAACCCGGAAGGCAGAGGTTGCAGTGAGCCAAGATCGTGGGCGCTGCACTCCAGCCTGGGTGACAGAGTGAGACTCTGTCTCAAAAATAAATAAATAAATAAATAATAGTTGCAGGCTCGCTGTCTCTATATATTTGCCTCATTTGAATATATATATATATAGCAACTATGTATTACATATATATAATATTATATATATATATTTTTTTTGAGAATGAGTGAGAACTCTTTCACCTGGGCTGGAGTGCAGTGGTGCGATCTCGGCTCACTGCAACCTCCACCTTCTGGATTCAAGCAATTCTTGTGCCACAGCCTCCCAAGTAGCTAGGACCATAGACATGCGCTACCACACCTGGCTGATTTTTGTATTTTAGTAGAGGTGGATTTCTCTATGTTGGCCAGGCTGGCCTTGAGCTCCTGACTTCAGGTGATCCATCCACCTCAGTCTCCCAAAGTGCTAGGATTACAGGTGTGAGCCACCACACCTGGCCTGTTGCAATATATTTAATAGTGGTCACTATGTACCGTGCTCTGCACTAGGCCTACATCATCTTAATTCTTAAAACAGTCTTTTGAAAGTAGTGTTCTTATCCCTCTTTTACAGAAGACCAAACAAAGTTAGGTGAATTTAAAATATGTAGCCCAATGTCATACAGGTAATAATGGAGCTCGATTTCAGACCCAGGTCTCCTTGATCATTTTTGCATTGAATCCTTGTATACCCTATACTACCCAACTTAAATCGATTAAATTTGTTTAAGATCTCAAAGTTTTGGTAAATGATGTTTTCCAGCACAGTGCAATAAAGTAGCACCAGCCACATGTAGTTCTTTACATTTAATTATAATAGTTAAATAAAATTAAAAATTCACTTCCTAGTCGTGCTAGCCACTTATTAAATGTTCAAGTAGCTACCTGGAGCTATTAGCTACTTTATTGGACAGTACAGATATAAAACATTTCCATCATCATAGAAAGTTTTGTACTAAACTATCTAATAGACTTTCGGAGACATGCTTATCATATAGTAAAATGATAAAAGATGACTGGAAGAGACAGATCTGTGTCTTCTGTTTAGATAGCAATCTGTTTGCATTGCTTCTCTAACTTCTTGACTAATATTTTTATTATCTGCAAAATTTAAAGTTTTGAATGGATTCATTAATGTTAACTAATGCTGTTAGTAACAACAGTGAGGTTGTTCATTCTTGGATCTTGGGAACTGCTGTTGTAAAAAGCTGTGAAATTCTTATGAAGTGTTCTGGCGCTTGAACAGACTTCTCAGGCCCTTTAAGTTTTAAATACTTGAAATTCTTTAGCAGGAATTATGTCAGAGTAACAAATGGGGGCAAAAAATTTCTGAAGCAAAGATTTGTGTTCCTCTCTAATTTTAAATTTATCTTTTTCCATGTTATAAGTCGTTTGAAAATGTTTCTGTGGAATCGGTGGACTCATCCAGTGAAAAAGGTATTTATAACTTTTCACAAACTTCTTGTAGTTACTTTCTATAAATGTCCTGGATTAATCTCCTCTTGCCTAGTAACCTAGTGTATTCATTTTTAATGCAAAATGATATATGAAGTTTTACATATAAAGCTTAAGGGAAATAGCCTGCTAGAGTAGATAGATAATATGAGATATAGACTGATCAAGAATTATGTAAAGCTTTTAACTTGATGAATAATAGAAATATATTTTAAGACAAAAATACATTACAGTTTGAAACCATTTTAAGTTTAAACTCTGGCCTTTTAAATTGTAAATTTGTCACTTGTATTTTTTAAAAAAAACAGTTTTTATTGACTAACATCTTAGGATCTGAGTGCTTCTTTGTTTAGAGTTATGATGTGATCACATTTAACATATACTTACCTTGATATTTTTGTTTTCAGGAAATTTTTCCCCTTTAGAACTAGACAATGTGCTGTTAAAGAACACTGACTCCATAGAGTTGGCTTTGTCATATGCTAAAACTTGGTCAAAATATACTAAGAACATAGTTTCATGGGTTGAAAAAAAGCTTAACTTGGGTGAGTTGCCTTTTAAAGCATCTGATTTAGAGTGTAATAATTAAATTGTTTCTAACTCATTTTTTACAGATTATGAGTAATAGAATTCCAAATTAGTACCTGTTTCATTGTAGTGAATAAAACCATTATCCAGAAAAGACTCTTCTTACACTAGATGTAATTATTGAATATTTACTGTGGACCAACTACGAGACCTAGGGACACAGAGACAAGTAGAATACTGTCTCCGCCTTCAAATAAGTCATACTCTAGTTGGTAAAAAGAAATGCAATCAGATAATATGGTCAGGAGATAATAGCAACAATAGATGTATGAGTAGAAGGCAATGGAAGCAGAGAAGAAACATTTTAACAGCTAATATTTCCCCAGTGTTTTACAGTTGTCAAAATGTTTTCATAGTCATTATCTTATTTACTTCATGCAAAAACCCTGAGAAGTAAGCAAGACACGAATTGTTTTTCCTATTTTACAGCTGAGAGAGACAAGACAGGAGATTCCCTAAGGTCATATAGCAGATTTGCTTAAAGTCATATAGCATAACTGGAAGAATATAGAATCTATCCAAAGCCTATGCTCTTTCTACTATATTAGTTGCTTATAATAGAGAATGCTAATCAGAATCACCTGAATAGTCTTGTAGAGGGTCAGTACACAAGCCTAGGTCCTATCCTTCAAAGAGGTGAAATGAAGGCAAATATATTCTGAAAAAGTTTGCCAATTGATTCTGATGAGCACTCACAATTACGAAATGCTGCGTTAAGAACTGTACATGGTGGCTTATGCCTGTAATCCCGGATATTCCTGAGGCTGAGGCTGGAAGATCACTAGAGCCTGGGAGTTCGAGACCAGCCTGGGCAACATAGTGAAATCATGTCTCTTAAAAAAAAAAAAAAAGAAGAAGAAGAAGAAAGTATTGCTGTGTTATATCTTGATACTAGTATTTGTGATAACTTCTTAATTGTGGAATTACAAGTAATTTTAGAATATGGGGGGGGAAAATAAATTGATTTTACCTTCTGATACCTTCTTTGAACTTTTCAGAATTGGAGTCCACTAGAAATATGGTCAAGTTGGCAGAGGCAACTAGAACTAACATTGGAATTCAGGTAAGTGTTCTGTGAACTTCTAGGGTTCTATAATAAGAAACTACTCATGAACTCCCAATAATTTGCAAAATCAGAATATTTCAGTTAATATAGGAAAGCACTTAAATGCTGATCATTTTATTGACAAAATTATTTTAAGTTTAGATGGATGTCCATTATGAAAAAATCTAGGAAATATACTTTTTTTTTCATCTTAATACAGGGCCTCACTCTGTAACCCAGGCTGATGTGCAGTGGCATGATCTCAGCTCACTGCTACCTCTGTCCCCCTAGGCTCAAGCGATCCTCCCACCTCAGCCTCCTGATTATGTGGAACTATAGGTGCCCACCATGCCTGGCTAATTTTTGCATGTTTTTATAGAGATGGGGTTTCACCATGTTGCCTAGGCTGATCTCAAACTCCTGAGCTCAAGTAGTCCGTCCCCTTGGCCTCCCAGAGTGTTGGGATTACGGCGTGAGTCACTATTCCTGGCCAGAAATTTACAATTTTATACAAATACTGATTGTCTTGATAGCTACTACTTTTGCTAACCAGTTTTATAATTGATTAATTTTCTTCTATATTTTTCTCATAGTCATGTTTATGACTAGTTATTTTTCTGGGGGCAAAAGTCTAAACTTAGTTTCCCTTTTTGAAGAGTAGTGATGTGTTTGGAATTCTAGTGCCATTTCTATTGTAAAATTTACTTTTCAATTTTAAATTTTAGGAGTTCATGCCACTGCAGTCTCTGTTTACTAATGCTCTTCTTAATGATATAGAGAGCAGTCATCTTTTACAACAAACAATTGCAGCTCTCCAGGCTAACAAATTTGTACAGGTAAAGATTAATTTATATGTGTAATACACTTTTTCGTTAAACAATGGCATGCCTTTAGAAAATTGCTTTTTTCTTTTTCCATTTTAAATACCCTTCACAGCCTCTACTTGGGAGGAAAAATGAAATGGAAAAACAAAGGAAAGAAATAAAAGAACTTTGGAAACAGGAGCAAAATAAAATGGTTAGTATTAAAATGGAGTTTCATATACCTATTTGTGAACATTTAAAATAATCTTCAGTATATACTGACCTTCCTTGCTCTCATTTTTCTAAAATACTGTCTTAACTATCTTGCTGAATATGCTAAAGACATTTAGCATAAAGACATTTAGCTGAATATGCTAAAGACATTTAGTTCTGTAGGATTTCTTTCATATTCTGTGTTTAATACTCTTTGCGATGTAGCTTGAAGCAGAGAATGCTCTCAAAAAGGCAAAATTATTATGCATGCAACGTCAAGATGAATATGAGAAAGCAAAGTCTTCCATGTTTCGTGCAGAAGAGGAGCATCTGTCTTCAAGTGGTGCATTAGCAAAAAATCTCAACAAGCAACTAGAAAAAAAGCGAAGATTGGAAGAGGAGGCTCTCCAAAAAGTAATGATCTTTTTCTTTTTTATTTGCAAGTTGAATTAGCAGTAATCTGCCAGGAGTTTTGTGTCAAAGTTCTGTGTCTGCCAGGACTGCCTGGAAAGGCGTGTTAAAAGATGGCTAAGCCCATCCCCCAGAGTTTCTCATTCAGTAAGTCAACAGAGGGGGCAAGGCAGGTTACATTTTTTAACAGACTCTCAGGTGGTGCTGATGCTGTTGGTGAGGATCCACATTTTGAGAACCACTATGCTGAGAGCTGAATTTTGGAGTTTGTGAAAGAATATCTTACTGAAGGCAGTAGTTTAATAGATATTTTACTTGACAAGAAAGTTCACCTTTTAAGCAAGTGTGTGTGTATATGTGTACTAATTCAAGCACCTGATAGCAGGGATAGGCAGAAGCTTTGTATTATTGATGAAGTGTAATTTTACGAACAAAATTCTATAAGATTATATGGAATATAGTAAATGTAAATATAAAATGCTATTTCAAATAGGAGCAAGTATTTTATAGATAAACAATATACTAATTATAAATTGTACATGGCTGTCCATTAAAATCAAGTGCCTTTGAATCACGGACCAGAACAGATTAAGTTTAGAAGTATTATTTTGAAAACAGAATATTTCAGAATTTTCAGTTATTTCAACTTAGCTTTACTATAGTAAATATTTGTTTAAAATATAAATTCTAGTGGTTTTCTTTCTGTCATATTTGTGAAGGTAGAAGAAGCAAGTGAACTTTACAAAGTTTGTGTGACAAATGTTGAAGAAAGAAGAAATGATCTAGAAAATACCAAAAGAGAAATTTTAACACAACTCCGGACACTTGTTTTCCAGTGTGATCTTACCCTTAAAGCTGTAAGTAATTTCTTCAGTATTTTGAAGGCAAGAAGAAAAGACCGTCAGGCCAGGCATGGTGGCTCACACCTGTAATCCCAGCACTTTGGGAGGCTGAGGTGGGAGGATCACTTGAGCCCAAAAGTTTGAGGTTACAGTGAGCGTTGATTATGATTACCCACTGTAGAATGGGTGATCAAGAAAGAGAGAGAGAGAGAAGGAAGGAAAGAAGGGAGGGAGGAAGGTAGGGAGGGAGGGAAAAGAAAGAGAAGTCTCTGTATCTGCAGAAGGGGAAGGTATGCCTTATAAGTTACAATTCTTATGGGATTTAGATTCTGAGATTAATAAAATGTGTTGAGTTTGCAGATTGATTTTCAGTTTTTCATAGTGATGCACAGTTTGAATTTCTTTTGATCTGCCTTTCCCCATGTTCTCTGGATTAATGATTTGTGTGGTTAAAATTGAAGTCTGAGTGTTTAAAATTGCCTCTAAGCCACCAGTTTTCTTGGCTTTGCTGACATAATTGTTTTGACCCTTGAAACTTCTGTCAGTGCTCTGAGTTATATTCTTCAGAATTGGAGTAAATTAAATATTAAAATTGAACCAAATTATTTGTTTGGAGACAAAGCATTCTGCCCTGAAGTATTTTTATTTACTCTTTAAAATGCTTTTTGTAAAATTAATTACATATAAAACCTTTTTCTCCATGTATAGTCCGCAAGTTTTAACAGTTATAAATTTGTGTAAGTACCACCACAATCAGGATTCAGAACAATACTGTCACTTAAAAATGATTCCTTCATGCTACTTACTTTGTAGTCCAACTCTCTGCCCACTCATAACCCCTGGCAAGTACCGATCTGTTCTCTGCCTTATTAGTTTGGTCTTTTCCAGATTGTCATATAAATGAAGTCATATAGTATATAACCTTTTGACTGGTTTATTTTACTCAGCATAATGCCTTTAAGATTCATCAATGTTATGGATGTATCAATAGTTTGTTTCTTTTTATTGCAGAATTCCATTGTGTGACTGTACTACAGTGTTTATCCATTCACTAGTTGGACATTTGTGGTGTTTCCAGTTTGGGGTGATTATGAGTAGAGCTACAGAATATTTTCTTATACATTCTTGTTGAACATAAGTTTTCTTGTCTCTCAAGTCAATACCAGGAGTGGGATTACTGGTTGGTGTGCTAAATGTATAGTTACCTTTTTAAGAAACTGCCAAACCGTTTTCCAGAGTGGCTATAATATTTTTCATTCTAACCGGCAGTGTCTGAGAGTTCTAGTTGTTCTGTGTCCTTGACATGTATCAGTCATTGTTTTTAAATGTTAGCTGTTCCAATAGGTGTGTTATCTAATTGTGGTTTTAATTTGTGTTTCTAAAAATGATTAACAATATTGAGCATCTTTTCAAAGGCTTATTGACAATCTATATTTTAGCTGTTTTAAAAATTGAGTTGTTTATTTTCTTGTTGAGCTTGCATATATTTTCTCTCATTCTGGAGCTTCTCTTTTTATTATTTTAGCAGTGTATTTTGGGGAGCAAAAGGTTTTAATTTTGTTGGAATCCAACTTATCAGTTTTTTCTTTTATGGGTCATGCTTTTGGTTATATCTAAGAGTGCTTCACCTAACCCAAGAACATAAAGGTTTATCCTATGATTTCTACTAAAACTTCTGTAGCTTTACATAAAGATATATGATCTGTTTTGGGTTAATTTTTGTGTAAGATTTAAGGTACAGGTTGTTCATTTTTAGCATATGTATGTTATATTAAAATTATACTCATAGGATTTTACTTTATCAGAGTGACATAGAGAGGTCAGTGCTGTTGAAAGAAAAACTTAGGACTTAAATTTCCCAAGAGAAGGGGACACATCAGTCCACGCAGGGCCACAAGGGAAATACTGGGTTTGGCAAGCATAAGCAGGGATGAAAGGAAGCTGAGTAGAGTTTTTGTTGGGGTTTCCTCAGGAAAGGCAAGGTAAACTGTTCCTCAACAGTTTGGCTAGTGTGGATTTCCGTGGACTTTGGATCATAGGGATGGTTTCTAGTTGTGTTGTACCTGACCCCGGGGTGATTTAGGACAGATAAAATAATTGGCTTTGTGTGTAAGAGTTAGAAAAGGAGGTGGCTGGATTTATAGACTGGAGACTTGTTGCTTTGCACATGAAAGCTGTGATCCTACCTGAGCCCTTGGCTATCTCTAGGAATTAGCTAGCCCAGGGAGAGTCAGTCTCTCACTGGCCAGCATGCTTTTTAAGATGTCCAAACTGCATAAAATAGAGAAAATAAAAAACATGGTAAATGCAGATGTCCACTTGTTTTGATACCATTTGTTGAAAACACTATGCCATTTTCATTAAATTGCCTCTGCATCTTGGTAAAAATCAGTTGGCCATATTTGTAGGTGTCTACTTCTATATTTTCTGTTTTGTTGCACTGAAGTACTTGCTGTCTTTTTTTTTTTAATACTTTAAGTTCTGGGGTACATGTGCACAATGCGCAGGTTTGATACATAGGTATACATATGCCATGTTGGTTTGCTGCACCCATCAACTCATCATTTCCATTAGGTATTTCTCCTAATGCTATCCCTGCTCCAGCGCCCAATCACCTGACAGGCCCTGGTGTGTGATGTTCCCCGCCCTGTGTCCAAGTGATCTCATTGTTCAATTCCCACCTGTAATTGAGAACATGCGGTGTTTAGTTCTTGCTGTCCTTTTTGTAAAGCCCCAGTGTCTTGATTATTTTTGCTTTACAGCAAGTCTTAAAATCAGGTGCATAGTGTGGGTCTTCCAGCTTTATTCTTTTATAGAATTGTTTGAGTATTTTAGGTCCTTTGACCTGCCTTAAAAATGTTAGAATCAGCTTGTCCATATCTCCAAAAACTCTTGCCAACATTTTGGTTGGATTTGGTATTAAGTTTTAGATCAGACTGGGGAGCATTGACTGTATATGTAGCATCTTAGCAATATAAAGTTGCCAACACATGAACATACTATGCCTCTCCAACTACTTAGGTCTTTGATTAAAAAAAAAAAAAAAAATCAGCATTTTGTAGTTTTCAACATACTTTTAATAAGTTGTGTTAGATTTAATCCTGTGTATGTATGTGTTTATTTGGGGGGGGCTATTGTGAATGGTCTGTATGTACACATAAGTGCATATGTATAGATTTCCTTTATTTAAAATTTCCATTGTTAATTGGTTTGGGGGCTTTTTTGTTTGTTTTTGTGTTTTGAGACAAGGTTTTACTCTGTCACTCAGGCTGGAGTACAGTGGCGTGATCATAGCTTACTGCAGCCTCACCCTCCTGGGCTCAAGTAATCCTCAGCCTCCCAGGTAGCTAAGACTACACGTGCATGCCACCATGCCCAGCTAATCTTTGTATTTTTGTAGAGACTGGGTTTTGCCATGTTTGCCCAACCTGGTGTCGAATTCCTGGGCTCAAGGAATCCACCCACCTTGGCCCCCCAGAGTGCTGGGATGACAGGTGTGAGCCACTGTGCCTGGCTGTTTTAATTGTTAATAGTTAGAAATATACTTGATATTTTGTGTGTTGGTCTTGTATTTTGCAGCCTTGCTAAACTCACTTATTTGTTTTAGGAGCTTTTTGTAGATTCTTCGGGATTTTCTACATAGAAAATTATGTTACCTGCAAATAGGGACAGTTTTATATCTTCCTTTCCAATCTGTATTCCTTTTATTTCTTTTTCTTATTGCCCTAACTAAGGCTTCTAGTACACTGTTAAATAGGGGTAGTGAGAGAAGACATCCTGGCCTAATTGTCCATCTTAGGGGAAAAGCACTGTCTTTCACCATAATATATGGTGATAGCTGTAGGTTCTTTGAAGATGCCTTTAATCTGGTTAAGAAATTTCTTTTTTCTAGTTTGCTGAGAGTTTTATCATGAATAAAGGTTAGATTTTATCAAATGTTTTTCTGCATTATGTGATACATGTAGTTTTGTCTTTAGCCTGTAAATATGGTGGATTATGTTAATATTTGAGTGTGGACCTCGCTTTGCATCCCTGGAATAAGCCCCTCTTGGTCATGAGGAATTGTTTTCTTTTATATATTGCTGGATTCAATTTGCTACTTTGTTGACTATTTTTTTCTTTTTCTCTCTGTTAGAGAAAGATTGATATGTCTAAAAAAACTGTTTTTGTCTGATTTCGAAAGTGTAAGGGTGATTCTGGCTTCATAAAATGAATTGGGAAGTGCTCCCTCCTATTTTGTTTTCTGGAAAAGATTGTGTCAAATTTGTGTTATTTCTTCTTTAAAAGTTTGATAACATTCCTCTGGTGAAAGTATCTAGGCTTGGGATTTTCTCTTTTGAAAGTTTTTTTTTTACTACGTATTCAGTGTATTTTGATATAGACCTATTCAAGTTAATTATTTCTTCTTAGGTGATTTTTGGTAGCTTGTGGCTTTCATGGAATTGGTCCTTTTTATCTAGGTTGTTGAATTTATGTGCATAATGTGTCTTGTAGTATTCTCTTACCTTTTAATGTCTCAGTGGGCTGTAGTAATAACCTCTCTTTCATTCCCAATACTGGTAATTTGCATCTTTTTTCTCTTTCTCTCTCTTTGGTCAGTCTGGCAAGAGGTTTAAAAGTCTTATTATCCTTTTAAAAAAGAAATAGCATTTAGTTTCATCAATTTTTCTTTTTCTCAATTTTACTGATTCTGCATTTTATTCTTTATTTCTACTTTCTTTGGGTTTATTTTGCCTTTTAAAAAAAAGTTTCTGAAAGCAGAAGCTTATGTTGTTTATTGAGACCTTCCTGTGCTTTTCTGATACATTTAGTTCTTTAAATTTTCCTCTCCAAGCATTGCTTATGTATATCTCACAAATTTTGAAATTTGTATTTTCATTTATATTCAGTTCAAAATATTTTCTAATTTCCCTTGAGACTTCGTCTTTGATCTGTGGATAATGTAGAAGTCTGTTGTTTAATTTCCAAGTATTTGAGGATTTTCTGGATATCTTCCTGATACTGATTTTTAGTTT